AATCCACAAATGCCATTCCAGAACACAGGAATAGTTAGAGCATATAAATGGCCTTCCCATGGCCTCACACAGGGGCCTAACCAAGGAGAGTTACAAACTGCTGCAGTAGTGGCAAAATACACATGTTCTGAGGTATATTCCAACAGCAAGGACCAAACTCTGATTCCCAAGTCGTTTGCATCGAACTCCACTATGACTAATGAGAACACAATAAACACACCCAGCAGACTCTCACAACGTGACTCTCTGAGGAAGCACCCTTCTTACTTCCTTACTGTGTTCTTCCCACCCTAACCTGTCCTGCCATCATATGATCCCTTTCAAAGCTGCCTCCAGCTGGCAGCCTTCCTTCTCTATAACAAGGTCACTTCTGGGCCTTATAGGCTCTGCTTAATATTTCCAATTAATTACAAACTATCAGTCTAAAATATGTAACTATTAATACACATCTATATCTATACATAAAAGCTTTATAGGTAGGTATGAGAAATATACTCTTAAAAATCAGTTAGCACTGTTAGGACGCAGCAGCAAAAGAAACACACTCTAAGAATTCATCCAAAAGAATACTGAAAATATTACAATATTGTAACACTTCTGGTTTCTATGATGAACAGAGATTTTTATTATTTTTTTTTTTTTTACTCAAAGGCATCCATATTATGGTACAGTATTCTGAGAAGGAAAGTTTCAACACAGACCTGAGGAACCTTGTTCTCACAATACAGGCTAGGATTTTAAGAGCTCATCTTGAACTCTTGACAGTAATTTGAATAAATTGCTAAGAAATGAGTGTGAAATCACACAAGATAAATGCCATAGTAATAAAAACCAATGATACAACAAACTGACTCCAACAGACAATACAGTGAAAGCAACAAGCAGCTCTGTCCAGATGATCTTTTTTGACAAGACAGTGCAAATCCTAGAAAGGAATCACCTGGTCTTCCAAGAAAATATATGAGGTATCTTTGAACCTCTTCAGAAGTGCTCTAAGGAAACAAAAGCCTGGATACCAGGCCTAAAAAGACAAATGATCATTGGTATAAATGTAGCCTTTAAAGAAAATGATTCGTTGGAGATTGTATTTAATTTACATAAAATTTTCTATCTGTGTTTGCTTTTAAACCAGAAGCTGGGAAACATTCATCTATGTGTAGGTCCACAGGCTGCATCTGCTTACATTCAAAAAGGAATTAGTCACACACACACAAACTCACCATATAAATAGTTTTACGTAACAAGAAACAGGCCAAATCCTACTCATTTGTAGTTATTAGTACTGCTCACATGAACAAAATGAGTGTACTTTGGCCAAATACCAAAATACCTGAATATCCAAAACGGGGCTATGATTTCAACATGTATTTTATGTTGTCCTTGTGGATATCAGCTGGGTTCAACAGTTACACATAAGATTTTTAAGTCTGATTATAAGCAAGGCAAGAGAAACTTTTGATGGACAGATATATAGAGACACTATCCAAAAGCAAACCAGAGAAAAGCTTTAGATCTGATGCACCTTAACTCGTTAATTCCACATTTTCTTGTGTTACAAAGCTGCATTATCAAGGTAACTGCAAAATATCTCAGTAGTTTTGGAACTGCAAAAATAATGAATAATTCATAGTGACTTCATTGATCAGTCCACTAGAACTGAAAATCTGTATTAAAACTTTTAAGATATGTATACTTTCTACTCATATGAAATTAAGAATAACTTTGAAGTAGCTATTTAACCATTTATTTATTTAAATCAGGCAGTCCTCCAATATCTGCATCTTTCCCTTCAGCCTGGAAAACTAAGCTGGCTAATAAGGAGGAGATCCCTGCAAACAACACTGATTTCTTGCTGCTTTGGTCACTTTTCGTTTTGGTTATTTAAGGTCAGTGCCTGAAACATGTTTCTCTTTTCCATCCAAGTTTACGTAAAACATGAGGGGAGATTAACGAGGTAATGACAAAGGTTGTATCTATTATTGTTACTGCTGATATTATAAAGCCCATGTTTCTTACTCTACATTTTAAAAATGTTTGCAGAGACACTATGAATGAGTCTTGCACAATAGATTCTTACCTATCATGCTGCTTCTGTGTAAACAATATTGATCCAGCGTGGAAACAGCAAAGGCACAGATGAAATCCTCTAATCGTAGCAGTGCTCTGAATAAAAAAATGAGACAATGCTGTTTTTTTAATTCCCATTACTCCCTAAAAGGAAAGTTACATTTGTGCTGCTTCTAAACTAAGCACCATTCCACATGAACAAAAGAACAAAACTAAGATCACATCCATTTCATCCTGCTGCTGCTGCTTACAGGCTCTCTGTAGATGCCTATGTCCCTGATACTGTATCTTCATTGCTCATGTGTCACATAAATGAGACATTAAAAATGCATAGAATGATCTTAGAGGAGGGAAAAAAGATCTGGAGTTTAAGGCAAAAGCAAAATAGAAGTGAAAAGTGAAGAGGTAGAAGAGAGAAATGCTCCCAAAATCCACATAAGCAAGGCAAGCAAAAAGACATATAAAAAGAGACAGCAACTGTGTTGACATTTCATATGTCTACCTGGGATAAAACTCATCCTTTTACTAACAATAAAAGCAAGAACCCTGAGAAAGCACAAAGCCCTTATAGCATTTTGCATCAAGTACCTCACCAAAGCACTAAGCAATTTCTGCTAAGGCCTGCACAATACTTGCACCTAACTACTTAATTTCTTTTTTAAAGCAAAATTAAACAGGAACAAATCTCTAATGCAGTTAGAGATATAAATGTGTTATATCTCTAAAGATACAACTGAGCCCAGGTAAAGGTGTTGCATCCATGCAATAAAACTGGTTTTTATTGTTCACCTACTGAAAACGAGCATATTTGTGCTTTTCCTTAATTGTTTCTTTTCCTATACATTAAATAGCTCTGCAAACAATGTAAGGCTTGCTTATAATTGAAAACAGACTGATATCTGTAATAATAATGATACTGCTGGATTGGTAGGAAGACTAAGTGAGCTCCTTGATCCCAGACATCAGCAGTCTTCCTAATCCATATATATCACTTGCCATGGTTGCATTCAGCTTCAAAACTGAAGAAAAATAAAGGAATATACACTTCATTTGTGACTCCTCTGATCCTGATAAACACACGATTGCCAAGACCAGCCCTTTAAGGAGGATCACTGCTTTTATAATATTTACTGGACGGCCACAAGGCTTTAGTCTGCTGAACTGATGCTGCAGGCAAAAAAAACCCACCCATGCTTAAGAATAATGAGCAACTTGAGAAATCTTGAGACACCTCCTTCCTTACTATGAAATTCATGCGAATGTTACACAGGTGACATATTTGTGCAATTTTATATATATAAACACACACATACAATAGCAATATTTTTAGCTGTAATTTCCTGCTCATGTGGCAACACGACAAGCATTCTGAAGAAGCTGAGCAAAGTGAAAACACAACCTGCAGAACAGGTCACGTTTAAATATTCTGCTATTGAAGAATATTAAAAACTACAGATTAAGTAGGAGTGTTGTAATACGTTAATTAATGCTTGTAAATCATCCTGAAACGCTTGGATAAAAAATAGCCTAAAAAGTGTTGCCACATGTCCTGATGTTTCTAGATGGGCACAATCCCATACAGGATGTTTTTACTTTGGGGGCGTTTCAAATCAAAAACGTCATCGGAGGATGAACTTTGCGTTGGTGTTTGAATATGACAAAGAAACAAGGATATAAACGAATTCTAATCCAGACTCTAGCAGTAGCCTGTAGGATCTGCATATCTTATGTAGGACTTGCACAGTGCAAGCGCTCGTGGTAGGAGAGCGGGGTCTAAAACTGCAAGGCTTCATTGCTGTGTGTGGATCAGAGTAGCTCACACGGGCTTGGCAGTGATACCCATAGGAGGGTGAAAAAGGCTTCTAAGATCCCCAAGTCCAACATCCCACCATGCCCACATCCCTCAGTGCCACATCCACAGCTCTGGGACATCCCAGGGACGGTGATCTCACCCCATGGCAGCCGTGCCATTGCCAGAATGCTCTTTGGAGAAGGAATTGCTCCTCATATCCACATCCTAGCACAACCTGAGGCCATTACTCAGGCTTGGTTGCAAACGCCTCAAACGCAGCTTCCAGTTTAGCACCACGTAAAAGCAAGTTCGTTAACACGGACAGCGAAGCGGTTTTTGAGAACTCGGTGCTCCTTGCTACTGGGATACGGAAAAAGAGGGACTCCCACAGAACTCCTGAAGGCTGTAACTCACTGAAGGGGTTCAGCTGTTCGGACCGAGCCCTCAAGCGCTGCTTCGCGCCGCTCGTGAAATGGCGGCAGCCGCTCGGCGCTGCGTCCCTGCAGACGAGCAAACAAACAAACAGGGCGCAAAGGACGAGCAGCGACTGGAAGCAGAGCAGCAATTGGAAGCAGAGCACCGCGGGGCTCCACGGGGAGCCTTCGGGAGAGCTGAAGCACAGCGGCCGGGCACGTGTTTTGCTGAAGAAACGGACGTTTGCTGCTGAAGTCGCAGCAACTGAGACTGTGAGGGCATCTGCAAGCGCGAGGCACGCTGCGGGACGCGCCTCGGCCACGCACCCGCTCACATTGCTCCTGGTAGAAAGAAATCAGCCCCTCAACACCTATCGGCCGGCCAACGCAACCGGGCTAAAGGGCAGCTCGCTGAGCGGCTGGGGGATACGACGGCCCCGCAGTGCTCTGAGGTAACGCCGAGAGAGAAGGCGCGGCGCGAGGACCGCGCCCTGAGGCGGGAAGGCGGGGCGCGCGCGCGCAGCCCGCTCGCGTGCCGCCTCACCCGTGCGCGCGCACAGGCGGGCAGGTAGGGGAGGAGGGAGCGCGCTCCGCCCCGCTCGGGGTGGGTCGGTAAGGGGGCGGGGCCGAACGGCGCTCAGCCGTGCTGTGAGTGGGCGGCGCGGCCGTCAATCCGGGGCGGCGCGCGCTCGCACGGCGTCGCGCGACGGGCTGCCGTTGCTTGTGGCGGTGGGAAAGGAGGGGAGAGGTGGGGGAGGGGGAGGAGGAGAGGAAACAAAAACAATCGCCCGGGCGCCGCCATCTTGGGTCCGTTCTCCACGCCACACAAGTGAATGGGTAGATATGAAATTACCACAGGGGAGCAGCGGCAGCAGCAGGGTACGGAGGGTCGTTCCGAGCTGCCGGTTGGACTCGGGAGACTTTAGAGACGGCTCCAACCACTGCTACTACCGCCACCACCACCACCGCCGCCTGTGGGCAAAAAGCGGGCTCGGCCTTTTCTCTTCGTCAACCTTTAAACTGCACTCGTGGAGGGACAAAGTTGGTGTCCGCCGCTCTGCCTCCGCCGCCGGGGAGACGGGAGAGCCGGGCGTGAGGCGGGCTGAGCGCTAAGGGCGGCGAGCCGGGCAGCGCTGCGAGGGGAGCGGCGGAGGAGGAGGAGGAGAAGGAGGAAGGCTCCTGCTTCTCAACCCGTAGAGCTGCCGTGGGAAGCCGGCCTCGCGATCATTTTCTCTTCTTTTTCTTTTATTTTTTTTTTTTTTACTTTAAATTGAGCCTCGAGGGAGCGGGGCGGGGTGGCATGGAAGCGTCGTAGAAGGGAAACGGTAAAACGCCGTTCTCGGAGCGGAGCGCTCAGCCCCGCCGCCGCACGGACTGACGGAGCGCTGCCATGGAGCCGCCGAGCCGCGCGGAGCGCAGCGCTGCTTAACGGGAGGCGGGACGGCGGTCGGCCGTCGGGAGCCGCGTTGTGGGGGAGCCTCGTGGCCGCCGGCTCCTCCGTTGACTTCATCTGCCTTCGTTTCCCTTTGGATCCGTAGCGTACTTTCGTGAGTTAAACCCCGTGAATTTGTACAGAAGCCGAATGACACGTGTGTTTTGAAACACTGCTCGGATTCTCGCTCGGTCGGTCTCCAAACGAGCCCGATTTTGCTGTTTGGTGAACACTATCTCCGGAGAAGTTGCTATAGATTGCTTTATAACGGTTCTGCAAGAAAGGGGGGGTGGGGGGAGAGAGGGAATTTTCCGGCTTGCAGGACCAAGAAACTGGATACTAAAAGTCACTTAAATGTCCTAACAGCGTTGGAAAATGGGAGCTGCTACGAAGTTAGCGTTCGCTGTTTTTCTCATCTCGTGTTCTTCAGGTGAGTGCGTGTTTTTGTTGCTTTGGGGTCAGCTGTTGGAAGGCCGGGGCGATTGCATCGGCGGTAGAAGTCATTTCTTCAAATGAGGTTTAGGTTGGCTATCAGGGGGAAGTTTTTCACGCGGAGGGTGGTGAGGCACTGGAACTGTGGGTTCCAGTGCAACTGAGGTTGCCCAAGAAGGCTGTGGATGCCCCATCCCTGCAGGCATTCAAGGCCAAGCTGGATGTGGCTCTGGGAAGCCTGGTCTGCTGTTTGGGGACCCTGCACATAGAAGGGGATTCGAACTAGATGATCGTCGTGGTCCTTTTCAGCCCAGGTCTGTGAAATGATAAACGTTTGGGGACGGCACTAAAGGATCGCTGTTTTCGCTGTGATCCCCAATGCATGATCCTTTAGGTGCTTGCAGTGCTCAGAGCGCTGATGTCGGTCCAACCCGGGGCTGTGCCCACCTCTGGGCACCTGGCGGGGCAGTTCTCGGCCTCGTGTTTGCTCCAGCATAATTACCAAGCTGAAATATTCCGAACTTAATTTAGAGCTCTTGCTCTGGAGAGTCCAGTGGTGGATGGCAACCTTCATTAACGCTTCATTAGTTCGGAATAATCGCTGTTGTGAAAGCATTAGCTCACCCCGCACTGATAGTGAGGGAGCACGTATAGATGCGTCCACCGAAACAGTCCGAAAAGACAGACTTTCGATTTCTGAGCAGTGATTTGTAACACTTTTTGTTTTGCTGTTCAGTGTTTCGCTTTCTTAGCACCTGAAACCCAGCTTTCAAGCTGCGGCTCTCAGTCCTGAGAGACAAGCGTGGTGTGAGAGCTTCCATCCTTTGGGTCGGGAGGGAAATGGTTATGTAGCAACCAGTGGCTGGAGAGCTGCTGCTACAGCCCTGCTCACAGCTCCACCAGCTGCACCTGAAACCTGCAGAGCTGTGTAACGCTCAGTGTGTTGTTCGTGTGGCAAGCCTGACCCTTCCTGTTCACGTGCTGAATATGTGTGTGCTCAGATCCACTTTTTGGCTTCCTTCTGTGCAGTGCAAAGGCACACTTGTTGATCAGCCTGAAGGCCGGCAGGCTTTCTGTGGGGCTGCTCCAGGGCAGTAATGAGATCTGCGTAGCGATGCCTTTTAAAATTTCAGCTTTATGATGTGCAGGATTTTGCTGAACAGCACATTTTCTTGTGGTTAGTAAATGGATAGTCTAGTCTTATGTCTGTAGTGTTATTGATCAATTCCGTGTGGGCTAAATGTGCTGTGAAATGGCGATCGCTGCCAGAGAGAAACTAAAAAAAAAAAAATAAAAAAATTCCTTTCTGTTTTAACCAGAGAAATAGCAGAGCAGGTTAAGGGGAGATGGGAGTGATTTTTGGTATTTTTTTCCTTCAGATTAGAGTACGCCATTTGTTCCTATTGCGAAACAGCACACGATTTCTTCCAGTGATTTTTGTCTTACCTTAGAAGATGTCTTTCATCTTTCCCTAATACCTTCTTTCTGAGGAACTCGCATAACGACATTCCTCTTAATTCAGGAATATCTTCTGCGGGGAAACTTTTCCATCCCGCTGTCAGTTTCTGAAGACGCGATGCCATCTGTTCCTCGTGTCTGTCTCTCCCCTCCACGTCCTTCTATTGAGCTGCCTTTGCTTGGAGCACGGAACAGAGATCTTGCTGACGTTACCTATCGGCTCATTAAAAAGAGAAGTAAAGTAGCAAAACCTGTCCCATCTTTTACATTTCTTGCTCATGTTGGTCTTGGTGAAACCAAGTGAATGTTTCTCCTGCCTGTAAGGGTAGGAATCATTGCTAAACGATCAGAAAACTGGCTGTGATTCGGACGGCAGTTCTCATATTAAGGGCATTGTTTTGGTGGTTGTTCCAGTATTCCACGTGAAGTATTCCGGTATTTAACACACATTAAACTGTTTCCTGCTCTAATGCTAGGAATAGTGGAGTTTCTGCAGATCCGGTATGGGTATAAAAACGAATAGATTTGCTGTAAGCTTTTGTTTTTACACTCAGAATCATCAGATTATGTAAGCATTCCGCACGAAGTACAGCACTTCGATGAGCAGTGTTCCTTCTGATCGCAGGCACTCACTCAGGTCCAGACTGCTATCGATCAATCCGTTCTCATATCGTGGTCAGAAGAATAAGTTTCCTTTACAGTTTTCCAACTGGGAATGAAAAAAGAAAAGCTTCCTCCAATTGTTTATTTAAGAATATTGGCGGTGGCTGAAGAAATCCAGGAGTTCAGGTGTAAAGGCGTCTGCTTCCATTCGCTCCAGCTGCTCTGCTTTGGGCATGTGGGGGTGTTGGGTTTCACGTTTATTTATTTGCAGTGTCCTTTGTGCAGCTATTTTCCAAAGTTGCTTACGTGGCCCATTAATGCTATTGTTTTTTAACTAGGTGAAAATGGTTTGTTCTGTGGTATGGGTGTGGGAGTGGGCTTCAGTCTGAAGGAGTTTTATTTAACGATCTGCTGTGCAGAATGCTGGAAATTTACTTCAGATGTATAGGAATTTCCAGTGAGTTAAATCTAATAGTCTTTGCTAAGAACGTGGAAATATTTCCACTTTCTGACTGTGGTAATTAAATAGGGGTATCTGTGTGGACTTCATAGCAGCTTAGATAGCTGGATAAAAGTGGGTATAGATTTGCACCCATTTATACTCATCCAAGAGAATGAGTTGAATGTGTAGGAGCTAAACTTAAAAGTGCCCCTTTTGCTGTGACGTTTAGGTTCCATGAGCACCCTCTCTCTCATACCCTATGTATGCTTGATTTTTGCCTGAATAAAGAGCCGAGGATCCTGAAATAATATTAAAATTCCTGTGAACAGTGCTATACACTTCCTGCGCCTCTGCTCGTGTGAGGCTGTAAGCAAGCTTAATAAAGAAAAGTGAATAAAACAGCACGTTCGTCAAGGAACACTTCTCTTCAGATGCTATCTCTGTTCTCCCCACCCCCAAGGAAGTGTTTCTTGTGTCCTTCCCTTCCTCATTACCGAGTTACTCATTATGAACTTTCAGGAATCGAGTGTACGCCTTCACAGCTCTCCGTGCTGTTTCCGAGCACACAGCCTGTGCAGCTGGGAATGTTGGGAGATGTTGAAGCAGTGGCTTCTTTTTAAGCAAAGCCTTCTATTGCGGAAGCTGCAGCTTTTAATTCCTCCTGGTATCTCCCAAACGATCATTTCCTCTCTTCCGAGTTATCTGTTCTTTCTCTGTACCTGGGAGGTTGTCAGCAAAGTAGTTCTCCAGCTTTAAGTTTCTTGCAGGGATCCAGACCTGAATTTGTTGCGCAGTTCATGCTACAAATCACTTCAACAAAAGTGACATCAGGAAGGTCCACATCCTGTCTTTTTTCCCCCTAATGCCGGATCATTCTTAAGCCATTCAGAGAGTCTTGAATAATTTAGCCAGAAGAAATGATTCAAAGATACCTCTGCAGGTATTTTCACTGCCTGGGGAATGTTTTGATTTTTTTAATATTTGTTCTTTCTGTCTCACACCAACTATTATTGGAGGATTTAATTTCCCCGAACACTTAGATAACAACACTGAAGTCAGAGATGCTGCTGCAGATTCAGAAGCTGAATATCTAGGCATTCTGGAGGAATTGAGGAGTGAGAGATGAGACCTTCCTGTAATTTTTTTTCTGTTGTGACTTTTTTTTCTTTACCATCCTTTCATTGCTAATTTAACTACACTTGAAAATCCTGCCAGAAACCTGTCAGTATTGTTTGTGAAATTCTCTGCAGCCTGTCCGTGAGTGTGGTTGAGCTCTAATTGCTTAATTGCACAGGTAGAGAAATAAGGCACTTCAGACTTAGTACTACTTGTACTTATGAAAAGCAGGATTTTACTTTACATAGGTTATTTTGGGGGGGGTAATAAGTGTGTTATCACTGGGAGATACCAGCACTCCTGATAGTGCAGTTCAGAGCAGGACTTAAAATCTGCTTTTTTCCAGCATAGATCCACCCACCAACGTGGAAGGAGGAGTGGGGGGAGAGCAGGGGGTTCTGTGTGAGGGAGAAGCTGTTCTGTTGCATGGAATGCGAGGAAGTAATTGCTGCTCTCCTGAATAATAGTTTTCATCTGGTTTGAATGGACAGTATTTGAATGACTTTTCTTTTTTCTCCACCTTGCTGGAATTTGGCAGCAAAAGCATTTCGGTGATGGGATCTGTCAGTTTGCAAATGAGAATGTAGAAAAACACCTTTTAACGTTTTAATTTAACGAGATGTTCGGTTTTACAAAGGGGAAAAATAACAGCAACTCCAATGGTTTTCATTCGTAGCTGTTCTACCTTCTGCAGCCTTTGCATTGTACACTCCTGGTTTTGGCAGGGCTTCAATTCCCATAGCTTATTTCTCCTTCAGGTTGGAGTTCAGCTCTCTCGCAGATCATTATGATTTTATACTTACGATTTCAGTATCTTAAAAGACAGTATTAACATCTTCCTTGTACACCAAGAAATGAGATGGATAAGCATGCAGAAGCAAGGCTTTTGCAGAGCTGTGATTCAGAGGCATGCCAAGTCCACAGTATTTATCCTTGGAAATCGTTTAGAGAATAGCTGCTAGAACACAGGCTGTGCAAAGATAGAGGCTGACAAGGAACTTGATTGCAGAAGAGATTTCTTGGTGAAGGGGATGCGTTTCCACCGCTTAATTAACAGAAAGCAGATTAATGCAAATGTCTGCTTTAGCTGGTTGGTGGAATGCATGGTCTGTTAGCTGTCTGATGTTCCTAAAAATGAGAACTCTTTAAAAAGATCAAGAAAATTACAAATTTTACAGCCAAGTTCTTGTGTGATTAAATCTTAATGTGTTTTTGTTGCCTTGGTGCCTGAAATTCAGCACATCTTATTTCCTGTTATTTCCATATGGAAATTGAAGTGTTTCTGAATGCCAGTGACTTTATGTGGCATCTCTTCTCTTCTCTCCTCTGCGATGTCTGCGTGGCGGCGGTGGGTTTTTCTTAGAAACAGTTTGCAACTG